GAAGGGTGGTTGGTCGCTGCCGTCGGTCACCAGAGACCCTTGTCCCTCCTGGTGATGTTTGGACTTGCGCGGGTTTTGTTTCCTTAAGGGAGATTTGTTTTAGGTGTGAGAATTAGCCTAATTTCTTTGCTTTAATCGTCAACTTAATAACTTTAAACCAAAAATTTTGTTTTTTGTTTTTTTTCTGCAGTCGGTGGTACCAGCAGCTCTGTTCCTTGCAGCCAAGGTGGAGGAGCAGCCTCGTAAACTGGATTACGTTATCAAGGTAGCACATGCCTGTCTGCATCCCCAGGAGACTCCTCTAGACACCAAGAGCGAGGTAAGTGTCGAGATCGGAGAGCTGGGCTCTGCTGTGAGGAGCGGAGGCACGAGGAATGGGAACGGCGGCGGCGTGCCGCATCCCTTGTGCGCAGCGTCTCTTTGAATCGGGTTCGGCTCTGAGCCAGCGGCTGCGTCCGAGGGTGCGCAGTGACAGCTTTCCGATCCGACCGCTCTGACGCTGCCCAGAGCTTTTGGGCTCTGTGCAGCAGAAGGGTTTTTTTCTTCCCTGCTCTGTGGCATCCTCTCTTCTGCTCTCCTCTGCTGTGCTGCTGCAAACGTGACTCGGACGTGCTGTGTAACGGTGTCTGCGTGAAAAGCTTCTGAGGAGGGCGTGGATGTTGGCTGCTGCGATTGAGTAGTGTCTCAACGCAGTCTGGTTCTGTTCTGTGCCCACGCGTTTAACAGTGGGTTTATTAAAACCATTGCCGATTCCCCGTCTCGAGACAGCCCATCTTACCTGGAGCTGAGCAGCCAACCCTGCTGAAAAGGGGCAGCTTTATCCAGGAAAGCTTAAGGAGAAAAAAAAAATAAAGGGTAGTCAGTTCCTCTCCTGTACTGCTCGTGTAGCCGCCCCGTGCAGTGCGAGGGACCGGGACTGAGAGGGCCGCTGTGGATCCCGAAGCAGCCGTCCCCTGGCAGGAGCTCGGGCAGGGGAGCGGGTCCGTCCCAGCACTCTGCTTTCTCTTTTCTGGCAGGGAATCTGTGCCAGTTCCCCCAGTGCAGACTGACAGAAAGATTCCCCGTTGCTATTTTTGCCTCCCTGAGAAAAGGGTGTTAGAAATGTGCAGGCTTTATGCGGAGTGCCTCATCGTGAGTAACTTGCCTGTCCTCTCAACCCCAGGCTTACCTGCAACAAGCCCAAGACCTGGTCATTCTAGAGAGCATAATACTGCAGACCCTGGGTAAGTTTTTCAAAGCGGACGGGCTGCCACACGAATCCCAGACCCAGGAGTGTTCCGCAGAGCGGAGAGCCTAACCGCACAGTCTTCTCCACAGCTGGAGGGCAGATGTACAGCTGGCCAGTGGGAGAGCAAGAGTCCAAGCAACAAACTCTATTTTTTTCACGCCCACTCCTTCTGTTTTCCTTTTAACGTCAGTTTTTTCAGGTGTAACTTGTGTCAGGTTTGATGCTTGGAGAAATTAAAGCGTGGGAGTGTGGCTCGTCTCTCTGTTTCCCCCCGCAGCAGGTTCTGTGCTGCCTGGACGCGGGTCGCTGTCCTCCATTGCGCTGTGGAACTCGGTAATGCCCTGGTCCTGTGGCCGGGAAGCACGTTGCGCTGAGACGGCTAACCAAACCTGGGCTGGAAGTTACTGTTTTGATAGATGGCCGAATGTGGAAATTAAAACCAACCCAGCCACAGTTTTGGGGTTTTTTTTGAAAGTAGAAGCTGGGGCCTGCATGTAGGGCGGTGGCTGTTGGATCCGCTATCCTGTTCCTTTCCAGAATGCGCTGTTAAAATGCGTTTTTGCTAACGCACGCTCCGTTTCAGAGGCAGCTTGTAGATAGCGTTCCGCTCTGGAATACTCCGTGGGCCGTTGTCATTTCTGACTTGGCTTGGAATTAAATGCCCTGAATCCCTCGCTCGCAAGAGGCCGGGAGGGTGAGCCGGTGGGTCGCGCGCGCTGGCCTGGCACGCCAGCGGCCGAGCTGCGACCGCGCGTCTGCAATGACCCGCTGCTCCAGTTGCCGTTTTAAACGTCCCGGTTCTTCTAGAATGTTCTGCGGAGGAAGAACCAAATCTGTTGCACACATGGACCAATTTGAATTTTTTTTTGTTTCTTTAAAACATAATGTGCAAACCGAATAGGAAACTGAAGCGAGGATGAAGTTCAGTTGTCCTTAGTGCTGTAGGCTCCTTCAAAGGGAAAACGTCTGCTTCCTCTTAGCTTTTTGGGTGACAGAAATTCCTTTGAGCAGATGCCATTGTCTTCTCCTTCCTCCCAGCTGCTGTGAGAGGCTTTGTCCTGCTATTTTTGAAATCCTTAATAGTTGTTTTGTTTTCAGTGAGGTCTTTCAAGCGCAGGAGTCGTTTAGCTGCTCGGAGGTCTGGCAGCAGCAGTGACCTTCGGGTTTTGTGACTGGAGAACTCGAGTCTTCTGGATACAGGAAAACGGGCTCCTCTATTCCTGCTCGCCTGAGAGCAGGGGCTGTAGGAGGGAAGGGGAGAAGGCCTTGTCCCCCAGGAGCAGGAAACGTGAGGTTCGTAGATCCGTGGGGGTGTGCTGCTGGTTTGCTGATGGCCGTATGTCTGTGTCCTTCCAGGTTTTGAGATCACTATTGACCACCCCCATACCCACGTGGTGAAGTGCACACAGCTCGTGCGAGGTAAGCGATGTCAGGCGTCGGGTGCTGGCGGCTTCTCCTCCGCGTAACCTCAGCTCGGTAGAGAAGAGCTGTGAAAAGACGTTGCAGCGTTCAGCTGGAGCTGCCTGCAGTCAGGCTCCGTAATACCCGTAACGAGCGTCAGAATGGAGGCAGTCGCGAATGACCGTGCTGCGGCTCCGCTGAGCCCCACAACGCGCTCTGTGCAGAGTGGTTTCTAAAATCCTGCTAGCTGTGGCGTGGAGTTAGTCGAGCTGTGCTGGGTGTCTTGCTGTGCGTGTGTTGGCGAGAGGCCCGTGCTGCTTGCACTGAAATGGAGTAATATTTGCCAGGATGTGCAAACTAATGCCCTGCTTTTTCCTTTTCTCTTTCAGCCAGCAAGGACTTGGCGCAAACTTCCTATTTCATGGCTACCAACAGGTTATTATTTTACAATTGATTCATATTTGACAGAGGGTCTTATCTGGAGGAGATGTGCTGCTGGTGACCCCTGGGGCGCTGGGCAGCCCGCAAGCAGCTGGGGATCCCTCGGGTTGGTTCAGAAAGAGCAGGAGCCTTTTCTCCTGCCAGCTGCCGGTCAGAACCGGCCGCAGGAGTGACCGTATAAGCGAGGCGGAGGGGACGCTCGGGAACTGTGCTGCTTTCTTTGATGGGGAGTTACAGTTGTGAAAGTTTTAAAAAACAAAACCCTAAACCAAAACAAAAAGATAGACTTGAATAGATGCGTTTTTATTTGCTTGGTACCTAGGTGTCGGAGAGTTTTCACTGGACTAGGCGCTGTGCAAACTGTCAGCAAATATGGTCTGCACCCCAAAGAGGGCTGAGGTAGAGTATAAAGGGAGGAAAGGGGTAGCTGGGTGCAGGCACGAGGTGTTATGAGAGCAGACGGTAGCCTTGTCTGGCCTGCACGGCTGGACAGACAGTCCTGTAAGCAGAATCTTGGAAAGAAAAAAAAGCCCCTAGGTATTTTCACCTTGGGAAGTCTGGGTCGTTTTTGTCACTAGATTGTCACTGCAAGGCTGATACCAGCCCTTGTGTTGGGGCTTCCGACAGTTTTTTAAGATTTAATCCCCTGGATTACCAGCTTCAGGCGAATCCTGGAGTTAATGTTTGGAACAGTCACGGAAAATCTTGTGGTTTTGTCAAAGAGCTCGCAGAAGTGAAAGGAGGGCAGAAAAAGCTGGGTTAGGCGCTGGCACGGGTGAAGCTGCAGAGTCAGGGAAGGCTCCCAGGCCCCGGCTGAGCCGTGAGTGTGCGTGGCCTTGGGCGAGCCGTTGCTCTCCGCTCTGCCCGTGAGCGGTGTTCCCCGCTCGCCTCCGCAGGCTGCCAGGGCTGTTTGGTGGTGGTGCTCCCCAGCTCCAAAGGGCACTGTGTGGCTTTCCTGCATAAACGAGCGCAAAGGGAAGGTGCTGTTAGTAACGTGTGGGTAAATGCATCCTTGAAACGTGTTTTATCCCCGCAGCAATAATTGCAAAACCAAGGAATTATGAGTTAAGGTTATAATTGAAAGAAATCCAGGCAGCAAGTAAGAAATGCAGCCAGGCAGCCTCAATTTTGCCTTAAAGTGATGCCGTGAAATGCCCGATTAAGGTGCTTAAGTGATGAGCTGGATTTATCGGGCGTAGCTATGGATGTTTAACTTTTATTTCCTTTCGGCATCATTTATAGGGCAGGGTTAAGGCTCCTGGTGCCCCTTCACTTCACTTCCTACCTTGGCAGACTGGATAAAGGCTCTGAATTTCCTGGGTTTGACTCCTTGGTGTGTGGATAAATGGAGAGTATCTGTGAAACGGCTTCAGGCTTTTTGGCTGTGGATGCATATCTCTGTCTGTCTGCATTGCATTGATGGAAAAAGATTTTAAGTCACCCGAGGATGGCGAAGAAATGCAGGTCAGGCCATCCTGCGGCTGCACGTAGGCGCTCAGCGGCACCGTTTCCATCAAGCGCCCTTTGAAAGGGCCCATTCGTGAGTGTGACAGTGGGCAAATCCTGCACCCAACTTGCTGTCACGGTTCCTGAGGCGGAGTGGAGCTGGTGTTCCTGCAGGTAGAGCGTAGGGTGCTGTCGTAGTCCGTCCGTCCTCCTGTTCTCAGTCCTGCCTAGAGCGCCCGGCGCTGACGCCTGAGCTGTCACGTGGCAGATTAATTTGCTAATGAGAATGCTGGATAGGTGGCCAGGCCCCCTTTAGGCGCTCCTGAGTCGCTCCAGGATATGGTGCGACTCACAACTGAAGCTTCAGTGCTTTTCCTGAAAACCGTTTGGGAAAGACCAGACCTTTCCTCAAGGCCGAGGAGGGCCGGTTTGCTCCTTGACCCTTCCTAAAAGCCGAAAGGGGCCAGTTTGCTCCTCGGTCGCCATCCCAGGAGTCGCACTCGGAAGTGTCTGAGTTTCTTAGGGTGAGCAGAGCCCACAGCAGAGGTGGGGGCTGGTGGGTAACCTGGCCGCTCGCTTTCTCCCTCGGAGGAGGGCTCGAGCCGGATGGCAGCATGTGTCGCTGCTCGTGCACGAGCCCCAGAGACTTGAGGTGGAAAGAGTTGCCTGGACCCAAATTATCTGCGACAGAACGGGGAAGGAACGAGGAAATCGGTGGAGCGGGATCGAGACGCCCGTAACAGTAGGGTTGTACTGGGGGAGGAATGGCAGGGACTTCCCCACCGCATCCACCTCTTGTGCAGCGTCTGTTCAGTGGGCGATTGCGAGTGCTGGAGCTCAGGCTTGGGAGTTCATGGCTTTTTGTTTCTCTCTCCCTGCTGGTGACGTCAGCCTGCACCTGACCACCTTCAGCCTGCAGTACACCCCTCCCGTTGTGGCCTGCGTCTGTATCCACCTGGCCTGTAAGTGGTCCAACTGGGAGATCCCAGTCTCCACGGACGGGAAGCACTGGTGGGAATACGTTGATGGCACTGTAACTCTGGAGCTCTTAGATGGTAAGTTTTGGAGCGAGGTTCCCCCCCAAAAAGGCTCTGACGTTATTTTGGCATCTCTGTTCCTGGGTCTGCCATTCAAACGTGGCCAGTTCGTGGACGCCAGGACTTCAGGTCTTGCCAAGGTTTCCAGTGCAGCAGCAGCTTCTGTGGTACAACAGAGATGGCAAAAGGCGTGCAGTGAGATGAGTTTAAACGTGGTCAGTGATACTAGCTCTCAGTATTGCCCCATTTCATCAGTAGCTCCACTCATCAGTAAGCAGGGGGTTGCCCTGACGGATTAGTGCTGGCCTGCCCGCCTCTGACCCTCTTGCTTGGGTTTGTGTCTCCTCTGCAGAACTGACTCATGAATTCCTGCAGATCCTTGAGAAAACTCCCAACCGGCTGAAGCGCATCCGGAACTGGCAGGTGAGAATCGGCTTTGGACCGCGGGTGCTTGCGGGAGAGGACGGGCTCCGATGGCTTCTGTGTGCGCGAGGCTGTGTGGCCTCTGCGGCGTGACAGTGCGGGACAGTGTCTGAAGGAGGGGGGGGGGG